TATTTTGTAGTAAACAAGATCATTCACTGCGGTTACCCAAGTCATTTTTGATTAATGCCCGATACTGATCTATGCCCCTGAAAGGGGCAATTGTTGACTTGGCTGCCCAGGGGAGATGTTTTGGTCCCCTGCATGGGGGTGGGGGTTGTAGTGATTGAGGGAAGGAATCAACTGTATCCCAGCATTGTAGGTTTTTGAGAGCTGAAACCTGAGTCCACCCACCCTGTTTAAGGTTTGTTTTTCTGAGAATCTTCAACAGCATTTAGTCAGTCTCCTGTATTTTTTATTAACATGATGCCTTGCTGCAAGGCAGCATGGCCTGTGCCACTGTGCGGTCCCTGCCTAATAAATGCTTAAGAAAAATGCAACCTGTTTAATATTCTAAAGCAATTTTTATCTTTTATTTTGAAAGGCTACCACCACTTCTGCTGGTATATATCAACACTCCCCAACTTGATTGGTCACACCATGAACTGGAGGACTTAAAATGCTCTGACAGCCATCAAATCCCAAAAATGTTGATAATTACAGTTCAATTGTCATATAAAGAAGGGACTGCCTCTTTATTAATAATAAATACCAAATGATGTGAAATATGAAACTAGAAAAACCAAAGAAATGAAGTTTCATCTGCTTTAACTTCAGGAGGAAGGTAAATGAATCAGATTTGTTTTCATTGTTTCCATAGGGAAGAAAAGCTGACAGTGAATGTTCTGGTCCACTTCCCCAGGGGTAATTATGAAGCCCTTTTACTGCTGGTGTCCTGCTGAGGCAGACTGAGTGGAGGTGAGGAGAGCTGTGGGTTCTAATTTGATTAGCAGCAGGCAAAAATACACAGATCCACTGTTCATGATCCAAACCAAAACGAGCCGAGCCAGACCTTGAACGGATTTCTCCAGAGCTTGGAGGAAACGTCGGTCCAGAAATAACTTTTGGGCGAGAAATGCTTTGAAAGCTGAACTCATTCAGCTGTTTTCTTACAGACATTCGGAACTTCAATTCCTGAGATGAAAACGACTGCTTTAAATAGCTGATGTCAGTCATGGAGCATCTGTATCTGGGTCAGTTAAACACAACATTTCCCTGTTTTTTCCACAGTCATGCAGTCTGCCCATCACAGGGAGTTAGTTTGCATTAAAAAAGTCCCCTAAAAAATCTGTATTTGCTGGCTCAGTCAAAGACTGCTGGAGCAAATATAAAACAATGCAAACACACTCAGATGGCCCCAACAAGACTGCTGCTACAGAGCCTAATTACAGCGAGGTAATGAGGATTTAACAAATGGAGAATGCAGATGCATGCTGTTTGCAGGTCACACTGCATACACATCTTGTTTACAGCCCCTGAAGGACTCCCTCAAGGCAAATTAAACCCACTCCCTCTGTACTCCAGCTTGTGCATTTGTGCAAAGAAGGATGGGTCTCTTTTCCGCTGAAGCAGCATGGTGTAACCCTTCAAGGTTCCACAAGAAGCAAAAACAGTCTTGGGAATTCAGCATTATTGCTTCTGACCTTGTAAAGAGTCTTAGCGCATCCCGTTTCTGCTGGAGTTGGGATTTTTGATGTGTCTATAGCTTAGATTTACTTAAAACAAGACTGAATTATCTCTGCCTGTCTCTACATCTTTCCCACTCTCTGCACACTAGGTGGAATGTGTAAGCTAGATAAGAAGAAAGTTACACAACTCCCCTGACAGATGTGGTTATATCACACTGCAGGAATTACACACAGAAATGACCTCAGCTAATCAAATCAATATGAGGTGGAAGACAAATCCAGTCCTACAGGCCCCACAGAAGGCCTCTAGCTTTCCCCCCTTCAGGAGGTACCCCATGCTAAGACCCCCACAGGGGTTGATGTTTCTCCAGCTCTAAAGAGTGGGTGGGTGAGGTTGGAGTCTGTGCACACCCCAAGCAGAGATTAGGATACACCCAAGCTCCGTGGAAGTGACTGATCAATTGCATCTAACCAATAATGAGAAATGGGCAAATTAAAAACAGAAAAACAATCGACTTTAGTAGAAGGCTTTATTATTGTTCCCTTTTTCATCAAAACATTTGTCGATAACGAAAGAGGATTTATCTTCTTACTTTTTCAGCTAGTTGGAAACATGTCGACACACGAGTCATACGTCCTAAGAGGTTTTCATGTTGTTGTGAAACAGGCCCCTCAGCCACAGGTGGTATAAATCTTTCACAATGAAAGAGTGGATTTCACAATAAAAGATTTGGTGATTAAAGGGGGGAAAAGTCCCACGCTTGAATCAGCTCCAGTCTGCTTCCCAGAAAGCTTGCGTATCTGTCGCTGACACATACAGATGGATCATCGTTCAGAGCTTAAACCTTAAGAAATATGACGTCAAGTGTAAAGAGAGACAGGTTGTTTCATTTAGTTGCATCTAGTTTGGTTCTCATTCTCTGCATCAAGGAGATATGAGCTAGTTAAAGTAGTTAAGAGTTTACTTCTGTAAAAATGTTTTCCTACCTTTTTCAGTCTAATAAAACAATTCATACTTCTCCACCAAATTATGCGCTGTCAGGTGGCATAAATAACAGTTGCCTAAAGCAATCCCAGAGATTCCCCTCCTCAGCAACAATTTCCATGCCCTCTTGGGGTATCTTAAGGTTTCCTAAGGCTATGGCAGACTGAGATTTCAAGAGAACATTCTAGTTTTGAGAAGATGTGATAGCAAATGGAGAGAGAAGGAGAGTGCTCACTTTTAATAGCATTCTAGCTGATGACTACCATTCCTTGACTGGTCACCTAAAAGATTTCCTACTTTCTCTGCTTTCCATTGGGAGATAGGCTAGTGTCAGCCAAGGATATACCCACTTTAGATGCTACTAAGAGATATGGTGAACATACTTCAAAAATCGAAATGTGGTTTTGATAGAATTTACAGTTATTTAATACAATGTCAAGCAAAAATGTTAGACATAAACATATATAGGGGCTGAACTTCACAAAAGCCGTTTCTCAATATGTGTATTTGTGCGTTATCATGTGCTCGTATACTTGTGAAATGTTATCAGCCGCAGCCCTAGTACTGTTCCATTTTACAAGAACAAGAAGACAGAGAACGGACAAAGTCCCCGAAAGTTGTTCTCGCACCTCCCTCTTTACCCAGCATGTATCAGAGCAGACTTGTCCGTTCTTGAGATTGACAGCTGTCCCAGCATGCACTGCGGCAGCAGCTTCCAATGGAGCGCTCACAGACCTCAGAGTATTAAGTCAAAACCTCTCTTTTCTGTTGCCATTGTTCCATTAAAGTACGTATTAAGATAATTTGAGGCGAGAACATTATACTTTTAAACGTCACTATATGGCCCGTTTATTGATTTAGTCCGTAATTTAGAAAAAACGTTTCCAAAGTTGAGAGGACCGCAGCAACCAGCGGACCTCCCAGGGTAACGGCAGCCAGGTCTAATCCTAGCCTGTCTGCAGCAGCCCTCTCTCTGCATAACCATGTGTGAAATACCGCTGGCGAGTTTTTTGTTTTATTTGGCAAAAAGATTGTTTAATTTGTGTTTATCTGACTGTGTTAATTATCATTTCCTCAATAAATGAAAAAAGTGATAATTCATTATTATCTAGAGACTATTAATAACAGGAGGTGACTAGCCGAGCGTGTGGTGACGTCACAAGTACGCTTCTGTTCCAATCGACCCATATTTATGCTACGTGCTCAAGTTCTTCAAG